TGCAGCCGCTGCTCGACCACCCGACCAAACACACGATGGTACGTCCTTTTTTTGAATTTGAGGTTTGAGGTTGAGATTGCAACTAGATTTTCGTGCCGTCGTACTTTGACTTTGTACGCGTCCGCAACCTCTTTGCCGAGCACAAGAAGCTCATCAACGTTGTCGCGATCTCCGAGTACTCGACCGACGCGCAGATCTCGCGGTACGCTCGTCGCCCCCGCGGTTGTTGATGTATCACTTGTGTCTAGCGCCCGCAACCATTTCTTCCATGGCCGCATCAATGTGTTTTTGATGTCGGAGCGCTTTCACTTTTACAAGCAGTACCGGGTATCTTGCGTCGTGCTTCGCGGAGGATCGAACCGCTGACCATCTGCGTTAGATCCGCGGTGTCCACCAAGTGTTTTGGTACGCGCCGCCGTCGCTGGGCCCGTTCTACGCCGAAGTGCTCAACGCGATGGGCGCGACGGACGAGGCCGACGCCGAGAACCTCAAGAGCGTCGTGCTCTACAGCCCCTGGGACACGCTCCGCGTGCAGCAGATCGCGGGCTCGAAGCGCGCGGCCCGCATGACGCGGTCGGGCGGCGACACCAAGTCCATCTACATGTTTTGCTAGACCCATAATATACACGCTTGCACGACATCCTTTGCGATCCACCTCCGAAATCGATAGATAGATAGATAGATAGATAGATAGATAGATAGATAGATAGATAGATAGATAGATAGATAGATAGATAGATAGCTTCAAAGCCTCGCTAGACGATTACCGACTCGAGGATTGTGAACGTAGTTGGCTTGGGGGTGTGGGGGGTTGGGGGCGGGCGATGCGCGTCGCACTTCCATTTGCGCTCGGCGTTTTCAAACGTAGCGATTTTGTGACAGCGTTTCTCGGTGCACAAGAACGGGATCGGCGGCGACTTGGGCGCGGGCGTTGATGCCCGACGAGCCAAGCGTAGGCGCGTGCGTGCCGGTGGTGATGTCGGAGGCTCCAACGTCGACGCGGATCGGGTCGTCGCTATACGCGGAGCCGTGCGACGACGTGGTGGGGACGTTGGAGGGTCCACCGATGGGGTCCGCGATACCACCGATCGGTCGTTTTGCGTTGGTCGACGCCGTGGTGGCGCCGGTGCGTCGACGGTCGGACGCTGCTTGGGCACCGATAGCGTCTGTGGGACCCGCCTCTCGCGTGCTGTCACTGGAAAGGACGGACCGAGTCCGCGGTGGGATCGGGGCGGATTTTCGGCCACCGGTGCGTCCTGTTGGTCATCGTGGTCGTGGTCGTTGCCACCATTAAAGAGGTCTGGCAACTCGTCCGGCCATGGTGCCGGGTCCGGCAAGCGCGTGTTCTGGAACGCCAAGGTCGCCGACGTTTGAAGTAGCGAAACGTCCCTGGCCAGTGGCACGGCTCGCTTGGTAGCTGGTGCGGCGACGCATTTGGGCACTGCTGGTGCCGTACCGTCTTGTGGGGCTGCGATCGTTGGCGTCACAATCGCAACCGGTGCCAGTGTCGTCGGTGCCTGCAGCTGAAGCGACTCGGGCAGCGGCATCGGCACGTCAGAGATCGCTGGCTCCTCTTTTGGCTCAACGTCGACGTCTCCAGCCTGCGTATCCAGGACCACGTCAGGGCGGGTTCGCGTGCTGTCAACCGGCGAGCGCGTGGCGGCGCGGGGAGTCTCGTAGAAGTCGTACCTAGCGCCTCGTGAGCATAGCACAGGCACGAAGAGCGTACGAAATCTCGAAAGAAGCGGTGGTTGCGAGCGTGATGCGACTGCCGTGGACCAGTGTGCGCTTCTCGCCGTCACCTACAGGGCGTCAACCTACGTCGTCGCCAGCATGGAGCGAGCATGGACCGTACGCAGGATATTGCCGTCGACAAAGACGCTCTCGCCTGGCACCGCCGAGACCGTCACGCTGTCGCCGCTTGGGTCGAGGAAGAGCCAGCGATTGGCGCACGTTGCCAGCTCCCGGCGCACTTGCTCGGTCGTCAGCGTGAACGCGTCGACGAAGAAGCAGCTGCTGATCGGCACGATGGACGACCTACACGACACCCTGTGCATGGGCTGCAGGAGCCATGGGCGTACCCGAGAAGGTAGCGTCGTAGCTGCAGCATCGTCGCATCGTCGAGCGCGGCCGGCGGAAACGTGATCGGGTCCAAGTACAGGACGCGCATGGCAAGCGTCTGGCAACTCTGCAATTGGGTTGGGTGTTTTCGGTGCATGGCCCCCTGCAGCTAATTCCACGCACGTTAAGAGCCATTAAAACGCTTTGAATACTGAATGCGGCACTGTCGAGGTTGAAGTTTGGCGACAAGTATTGAGAGGACCGGTGCGAGCAACCAAAGGTAGAGGTCTCTAAAAGTGACTGGCGCACATACAAACAGAGCTGCGTCGTCTCGCTGCGGGGCGCACAGACGTAGCACAAGGCCGCTCACATCGTTCAAGTTGCGTGTGATTAGATTTGCAATGTTTCCGGATAAGCAGCGATATCTTTTTGGAAGGGACGAATTGGTGTGTTTATCCGGAAATCCGACCTGGCAACCTCCAAGCAATGGACCTTTGCCTCCACGTCAGAGCAACGCGTCCTCGTGAGTGCAGGTGGATACGGACGAGTCTCTGTCTCAAAAACGAGATGTGCATATATTCATATTGAGATTTTAGTCTTGAATCGAGGACGACCCGGACTCGACCGACGAGGCTGTCTGGAGCTCTTGCAGGACGCGCGCCATGTCGCTGAGCTGGCTCTTGACCTGCTGCAGCTGTGCGGCTTGGTCTTTCTTGAGCGCGGCAATGGACGCGCGCATGTCAACCTGGAAATCCTCGGTCGCTGACCCCTTTTGCTCGTAGCCTGTCTTGTAGTCCGACTTGAGCACAACCTCGTGGAACGCCGGGTTCAGAATGCCCACGTGTGCGTCCATCTTCTTGGGTTTCTTGAGCGCCAAAAGCGGCTTGGCTTCGTCGCTCTTGCCGCGCCCGGTCTGCAGCGACCGGTCGAGGTGCACTGCATTCTCTACTTAAAAAATGATCAAGTCGGCTCGACGACCAAGTTGTACCTTTGGCGAGGAGGAACTTGGGCTTGATGACGTAGATCATCTCGGTGCGCTCGCGCGAGTCGAGGCTGAGTTCGAGCCGGAGGACGCAGTTGGCGTAGCTGGCCAGCGCCTCGAGCTTGGCTTTCTCGAGGCCCTCGACGAGCGTGTTGTTCATCATCGCAATGAGCACGTTGAGAAGGAGCACGATCGCGATCGCCATGTGGAACATGAGGAGACCCTTCGAGAAGATCGAGAGCACGGGCGACGTCGACGCGAGGTCCTGCACCGTGTTGCGTGACCACGTAGTAGCAATGTATCAGCTCGTACATCGATCGGTCCGGTCTGGATCTGGCCAAAGAGCACAAAGTACACCGTGATGAACGTGTGCAGGACCGACTCGTAGCCGTCGCTGCCTTGCAGCAGAATGTAGTACGCGCACGTCAAGCCGACTAGCGTCGACATGAGATATTGCAACGTATCAAGTTGAAACCTTGAAAGACGCCGTAGAGGATCGAGAACCGGACGCTGTCGAGGAGGAGGCCGCGCATCATGGGAAGAAGGTACCCGGCGGTCGGGTGCACCTCGAGGTACTGCAGCGAGAGGATCCAGAGCGCGAGGCAGATGGTGCCAGACATGCAGAGCTGGTACTCGCGCACGACGACCGACTCGGGAATGAAGCCGAGCTGGCACGGCACGTAGACGAGCATGATGAGGAGGAACACCAGGATCTGGACGGCGTTGACCGCGTTGGACATGTACTTGCGGAGGCCGTAGCCTTGGAGCTCTTTGTACTCCCAGTAGAAAAAGTAAAAGGCCGTGCCCCACAGCACAATGTTGTTGAGCGCCTGGTACTGGTCCTTGACACTGGATTGTCCGATGTCAGATGCCAGATGTCAGATGTGGTACGTACTTGGTCATCTCGGCGTTGGTGCGCGACCCGAGGTAGAGGAGGAAAGGTAGGCAGAGCACGCCGGTCCAGAAAATCGAGTGGAAGAAGAGCACCTTCTTGGCATAGGCTTTCCAGAGCGGCGCGTCAGGCATGATGTTCTCGTCGCCCCAGTTGAGCTCGACGTACGCGCCGCGCCAGAGAAACGCGCAGAGGCCGCGATACGTGCCGTCGCGACACCAGCCCGCGAGGCTCCAGAGCCGCTTGGGCTTGAGTCCAAAGTGGGCGATCACGTACGCCACAAAGACGTACACGACAAACACAAACCAGATCTGGTGCGTCGTTTTCAGAATCCGATTGCCGAGACGCAGAAGCGTACCATGAACGACGTCTGGATGCCTTCGTCGTCGACGTGTGTCTTGTTGCCCCTTGGGCGCTTGGTGACGCGCGCGTGGGTCCAGAACGTGAGGGAGAAGATGTTGGTCGTGTTTGGGTCTTCGTCCAGCTGGTAGATGCACCCCGAGATGACCGACGACGCCAGCAGCAGAATGTACACGAGACACTGCTCAATGTACATGCGCTGGGCGAAAAACTACTTGCAACGAAATTCCCTTACCCAGTGCACAATGGAGATGGAAAGTAGTATACCTCCCACTTGAGCTGGAGCACGCGGCGCATGATGATGTGCTGAAGGCAGTGCGCTTTGACCGCGTTCTGCGCGTCGTCTTCCGACTCGAGCGTCAGAATCGAGTAGAGCGCACTCTTCTCGACCGACTCCTTGCCATAGATGCGATCCAACTAGATCCATGTAGGATTGATACATTGATACGACGGTGAAGCACAGATAACGTACGTCGCGAAAGCTGAGGCTGTACCGACCTTCTTCGACCAAGAAGGCGTCGAGGATCTCCTTCCCGAGCTTGGGGTCGCACTCGATTGCGCCTAGATCGGGTATGTCTATGCTTTGTAGACAATAACGTCGTACCTTTGAACATGACTTCGTTGAAGCGGAGGTCCGTCGCGTTCTTCTCCAGAATGAGCTTGACAAAGGCGGCCTTGTCCTTGGCGACCATGAACGCCGTCTTGCCGCCCTTGTCCGTGCCGCCGATCTGCGCGTTGTTCTCAAGGAGCAGCTGCACCAGCGCGTCATGGCCAAAGGATGCGGCGTACATGAGCGCCGACCAGCCATCCTACAGTCTCCATGCCATCCATGTCTTGGTCGCACGTCCACGCACCGGATCGCGCTCGTCAATCTTGGCCGGCGTGTCGAGCACGCAAGCGCGCGCGGCCTCGACGTTGCCTAGATGCAGGTCCATATTCGAGTCGATGACAATATTGTCGTACCGCTGCGAGCGTGGTACAGCAGCGGGTACCGTTCGCGGAACGCGCGCTCCTTGCCAATGTACAAGATGCACATGCGGTGGCTCGCCTCCAGCGCAAACGACAGCGCCGTCTTGCCTTCCTACGCAGCAGCCGCGTTGAACTCGACCACAAGGCCCGGACACGCACTGCTTGGGCCGCGTCAATGTCGGCGTTGCGGTCCAAAAGGAGCTTGACGAGCTCGGGGTGTCCATTGGCCGCGGCGCGCATCAAGAGCGTCGTGCCTGTCTACGAACCGGTTCGGCCGCAACCCTAACCGCGATGGCTACCTCGTCGGTTTGTTCGAGGTCCAGCGCCGGGTTGTCTTGCAAGATTTCTTCAAACGTCTCGAGGTCGCCGTCGCGCACGATGCGGCAAAGGACCTCGCGCTCGAGGAGGCGGCGGCAGTCGCCCGTCGCCATCGTCAGCGCCGACGCGCCATTCTACACACATTCCTTCTCTAGCTCTTTTTCTATAATCGTTCAAAGTGTACATTGTCGAGCACGTTGATGGCGACGTTGTGCTGAAGCAGGTAGGACACGATGTGCGTATGGCCTTCGGCCGCCGCCAGCATGAGCGCCGTGCGCCCCGTCTACGTTGAACCGACGATAAACCCTGCAGAAAAGCATATCGAGAGTACGTCGTCCTTGTCGTTGAGGGCCTTGCGCGTGCGTATGAGCTGGTTAAGCTGCCCGGATTTGGCAAAGTACAAGGCTGGGTGTTGCTGTCGTAAGAGCAACAAGGCCTTGCAGGCCGAGTGGCCCTTCTCGGTCGCGAGCTGCAGCGCCGTCTTGTTGTCCTAATGCAAGCATCTGCGACGAAGAGGTTGTCGTCGATCGAGATCATGTACGTGGTTGGTCATCGTAAAGTCGGCGTCGGCATCCAGCAGCTGCTGCAGAACGTTGACGTTGCCGACGGCAGCCGCGATCATGACGGCCGTCATCCCGCCCTGTGAACATCGTCTCAGCATCCTCCTCTCAAAGGAAGGGAGATGAGGGTACCGAGTTGAGACGCGCGTTCAATGCCGTCTCGGGATGCGCGAGAAGCACACGGACAATGTCCGTGTTGCCCTTCTTCGTTGCGAGCAAGAGGGCCGTCGACCCATTCTACGCGATATCAGCCCTTGACCATGTGACGATCGGAGAGACCGAGGTGACAGCGGTGACGGTCGCGTTCGCGGCCAGCAGCTGCTTGACACAGTCGACATGGCCGTAGTCGCACGCACACAGCAGCGGCGTCCAGCCATCGTCGTTGGGCAAGTCGACGTCGGCGTCGTACTTGAGCAGCGCACGAAGGGGCTCGATGTGGCCGTTGATGGCTGCGATGAGCAGTGGCGTGTTGCGTTCCTAAACCAGCGCGTCAGCCTCGCTCGAGGAGGAGCGTTGTACGTAGTTGTAGACGTTGGTGCGGGCATGCGCGCTCAGAAGCATGTGCACGATCTTGGTGTTGCCGTTCTCGGTCGCATAATGCAAGGCCGAGTTGCCCGCCTACATAGCGTGTCGATGTGCAGTGTAAAGGGTCCAAGAACAGACGTCGTCGGCGACTTCGGTGCTTGCGTGGTGCTCGAGGAGCACCTTGGCGATGAGCGCGAGGCCGTGAAAGCAGGCGTAGAGGAGCGCCGTCTTGCCGTCCTACGCAATGCACCAGTGTGTCAAAGGATCCACAACCGGATGCATCGCGTACGGGAAACGTCGACTCGAGGTTGGCGTTGTGGCTCGCGAGGAGCGCGACCGTGTCGATGCAGCTCTTCTGCGTCGCTCGCAGCAGCGCCGACGGCCGGTCCTAGCCATTGCGCGTGGACCAACATGCAAATGGCCGGAAGGACGCACCTCGCGCTGGGCCTCGGGCGACGCGCCGTGGGCGAGGAGGACGTGGACTACGTCGTGGTGGCCGTGGGCAGCCGCGTTGACCATGGCCGTGTCGCCGGCCTACGCTTCGCCTTAGCGTCGGCGCAGCGCGATCCTCGTACCTCGTCGAGTTGCTCGGCGTCCTCGCCGAGCGCAAGGCGGCGCTTGACCTCGAGCACGTTCCCGCGCCGGGCGTCGCGGAGGAGGCTGCTCATCGGCGGCAGTCAAATTCGACGATCCAGTGGAAGCGCCCAGTGGATGCTTTCAATGTGAAAAACGCCATTTTCACACCGCCAAATGGGTTTCCTACCCGAATCCTCGAACAATACCTTGACGTAAGTATGTCGCTTGCAAAAAAGCGTGAAATGGCGTGGGAAATCCATCTGAGAAAGGGCGTGGGCTATCACCACGATCGAATTCATGGAAATCCGCGGGCATTTGTAGCCGTTCGTGCCACCAGAAGAGGCAGTCGCGCGTGTGATAGATGGCCACCAGCGACGGTCGCAAGCTCGACACACACAGTGGTTCCAGGTACCAGTACGGTAGGCAGAGTACTGTGGCGGCTTTTCTTGTTTTATTTATGCAATTTTTGGCCGGGGAAGGCTGGGAGGATCCCGAGGAAGCCTTCGATGAGAACGCAGCGGCCCACTGCGAGTGGACACGAGAAGAGGTGGGCGTCGTCTGTCGATCTCTATCGCATGAATCTCCGTCGTTCGAAATTTACGCAGCGGCAAGCACACCGTGGGCCTCGGGAGAGAAGAAGCCGGCGCATGCTACCCGAAAGCTCGCCTTCGACCAGCACACGCCATCTCGTTTGCCCTTGTCGCACGTCGACCAGCGTATCTAGAAGCTTGCAGAAGCGATGCGGCTACCAAGGTGAATGGTTTTGCAGCGCCAACTTCAAGCCGCCCAGAGACGAAGACGGCGGAAGCCAAAGAAGACGACGAACACGTGGCCTTGGGAGTCAAGACATGTTGCATTTGGCGCAAGCTACTCTGTTCCTGGTTGCATTGCGGACGACGTCGTTCTTGCTAGTGCAACGTTGCAGCTGGTGTCGTTTAGGAAAAAGCAGGTATTCAAGTCGCTTAGGAAACCACATGGACGGCGTAGGCTTCGTATCCGGATAAACCGGATAAATGTGAATATGCGGATATGCTATACGGATACGAGAGGCCCTTGATCCATTTTCAAGGCGCGAAACCACGGGAGCATGGACAGCGATGGCGGGAGCGACTACGGCGGCGACCGGAAGCGGCGCCGGCTCCGGCGCGGTGATGCGAGCGACGACGACGAAGACGACGTCGACATGACGGGCGAGATGGCGGAAGAGCAGGACCCGGACGAGGAAGCCATGGACGAGGTCGAAGAGGAAGCGCGGCTCGCGGAGGCCGAGGCCGTCTACTTCTCGGACGACGAAGAAGACGAGGGCGAAGACCTCATCGAGAACGCGGAAGGCGACTACAAGCGCATGGACGCGCTCGACTCGTACGACCTGGGCCAGCTCGACGACCGGCGCTACGACGCCATTGACGACGAGACGCGGCGGCGCGTCGAGGAAGAGCTCGACCGGCGCGATGCGCGCGAAGGACGACTGCAGATGGCGCTTATCGAAGACCAAGAAACCGAGCGCGACGACGCCCATCGTCGGCGCCTCCAGACCTCGCGCCGGCCGGACGACGGCCAAGAAGCGGACGCTGTGCCGGTGCATATGTCATGCCATGCGCTTCCATGCTCAGGTATTTCTGTAGGAAGAAGAGCTTATCAACTTGGAGCACTTTGACGTGCCACTGCGCGAGTTCATCGCGGCCGAGCGGCCGCGCAACGAGATCAAGCGACGCTTCGTACGTGGGGAATCGACCCCATGTGGAGGCTCATGCGTCTGTAGCGCCACTTTCTCAACACGTTTACGCAGAACAACTCGCTCGTGTACCACCAGAAGATCGTCAAGATGGCCCAGCGCAACGAGCAAGTACGCTCGCATCCGCCATCGTCGTCGTGCTCATGGCGTCTAGAGCTTGGAGATTGAAATCGGCGACATCATCCAGAGCATGTCGATCTTTGCCGCGTGGATCGTCGAAGCGCCCAAAGACATGCTCACGATCCTCGACGAAGTCGCCCGCGAGGTAGAAAGCCCATGACCATCGTCCGCTCAGGCGGTGCTAGGTCGTCATGGCGCTCTTCCCGTACTACGACACGATCCACAAGGAGATTTACGTTCGGATTCTCGACCTCCCGGGCACGGAGAAGATCCGCGACCTGCGCACCGCGCATCTCAACTTCTTGATCAAGGTCTCGGGCGTCGTGACGCGCCGGACGTCGGTGTTCCCGCAGCTGCAGCTCGTCAAGTTCAACTGCAACGCGTGCGGCGCGGTCCTGGGCCCGTTCACGCAGAGCAAGTCGTCGGAGCTCTCGCTCAACGCGTGCCCCGAGTGCCAGAGCAAGGGGCCGTTCTCGCTCAACACGGCGCAGACCGTGTACCGCAACTACCAAAAGCTAACGTTGCAAGAGAGCCCCGGGAGCGTCCCGCCGGGCCGCGTGCCGCGCTCCAAGGAGGTCATTCTCCTCGCCGACCTCATTGACCGCGCGCGGCCGGGCGACGAAGTAGCGATTACGGGCGTCTACACCAACGCGCCCGACCCAAACCAAGGCATTCGCGATGGCTTCCCCGTCTTTCGCACCGTCATCGAGGCCAATCACATTGAGCGCACGGCCGAAGGGTATGCAAATCAGTTCGCTTTTCATGGACTTGACGAGTCTCGCATGTAGCAACACGACTGTACTCACGGTCGAGGACAAGAAGCGCATTCTGGCGCTGAGCAAGCGCCCCGACATTGGTCCGCTGCTCATTCGGTCGATCGCGCCGTCCATTTACGGCCACGAGCACGTCAAGACGGCGCTGTGCCTCTCGCTCTTTGGCGGGAAACCGAAATTCATCAAAAACTCGCGCGTACGGCCTCGACACCACGCCTGGGGGTTGTCATTGTGTGATGTTTTCTGCGAATTAGGTCCGTGGCGACCTCAACATCCTCATGGTCGGTGACCCGGGCACGGCGAAATCGCAGTTTCTCAAGTTTGTCAACACGACCGCGCCCCGGGCTGTGTACACGACGGGCAAGGGTGCGTCGGCTGTCGGTTTGACCGCCGGTGTCTCCAAGGACCCCGTCACAAAAGAGTGGGTTCTGCAAGGTACATGGATCCACTCGATAGTTTAGAAGATAAAAGTGGTGTGTGCTAGGTGGCGCGCTCGTGCTGGCCGACAAGGGCGTGTGCCTCATTGATGAGTTTGACAAGATGAACGAGCAAGATCGCACGAGTATCCACGAAGCCATGGAGCAGCAGACGATCTCTATCTCGAAAGCCGGCATTGTCACGTCGCTGCAAGCCCGCTGCGCCGTCATCGCCGCTGCCAACCCGATCGGCGGCCGGTACAATGCAACGCGGACGTTTGCCGAGAACGTGGAGCTCACGGACCCGATTCTGCAGCGCTTTGATGTGCTCTGCGTCGTGCAGGTCCGTGCCCTGTCCTGCCCGTAGGAAGCTGACACAACATGTATTTAGGACAAGGTCGACCCGGTCCAAGACGAACGACTCGCCAACTTTGTGATTTCGAGCCACATCAAGTCCAACCAGCCTGTCCAAGACCCGACCGAGGACCAAAACCATGACGAGGACGACGACGAGGGGCCGAGCCAGCGCAAGCGCAAGGAAACCCCGTCGCTCTCGACGACGACGGACGAAGAGACGCTCGACCAAGAGATGTTGCGCAAGTACATTGTCTACGCGCGGTCGTACGTCAACCCGACCGTGAGTTCGAGTCTCGACACGCGCAAGATCGAGACGTTTTACGCGCAGCTGCGCAAGGCGTCGCAGCACACGGGCGCGGTGCCGATCGCGGTCCGGCACATCGAGTCGCTCTTCCGCATGTCCGAGGCGTACGCGCGCATGCATCTCCGCGACGCCGTCTGCAACGACGACCTTGACATGGCGATCCGCGTCATGACCAACTCGCTCTGCGAAGCGCAGAAGTTCACGTTCAAGCGGCAGTGGCGCAAGCTCTTTGCGTCGTACCTGAGCTACCAGCAAGACAACACAGTCGTGCTCATGCACATCGTCCAAGAGCTCTTCCAGGCCGCGTACACCTACCACCAGGTACGCTGTGGGTTGATACTATCCTGATACAAATCTATGGATGTAGCTGCGGCAAGAGAAGCGCAAGGCGCCGACGGGCCTCACGTCGCTACAAGTGACGTGCGCCGACGTCCTAGCAAAGGCCCGCGCGCTCGGGATTGTGGACCTCAGTGCGTTCTACGACTCGCAAGCGTTCACGCAGAACGGCTACACGTACGACCGCGAGACGCAGGTGATTGTCAAGACGTTTTAATACACCAGTCGCCACTTCTATAGAATATTGTGTCTAGTCGTCTATGGTTATTGTGTGCAATCTGTTTCTTTGTTATAGAAATAAGGACTAGGAAAACGAGACGACGGCAGGTGACGCAAGTGGTGGTGACGAGGACGATGGGACGTGTTTTTTAAATGACGATGTGAACTGTATGCAATATTATTGTTTCTGAAAATTGTTTGATTGGTGCTTTACATTTGAATTTGGACCAATCCCGTGCGATGCAACGGCAGCGTCGGTGGGGCCAGGCGTTTGCGATCGCGATTTGCGTTGAAAAGTGAAATCGCTGCAGCGTGGTCCATTGATAGAAGACTTTTTAAGAAGCAGAACGCTGCATCGTAGGTGCTCGTGCGAGGTGGAGAGCACGAGATAGGCGTCGACGCGTTTTTAGTATTGGCGCATGCCATTAATAACCATATTTAGCCATATTTATTTGCACACAGTTCATTTGGGGCAGTCCAGAACGACAGTCGACTACGCTGTCTAGTACGGTCACGGGGTCGCTTTTGGACCACGTGTCGCGTGCCACCGATGACTCTACCACACGTGGTGTGAAGCAAATGCCGGAATGCGTTCACCGTGCTCTTGAGAGCTTGCTAGAGCGCAACATGAAATCGAAAATGCACATTTAGGTCAATCTCAATCTAACCCTCCCTTGACGACTGAAATTGACCTTGAGCGACCAGCCAGTTGTGCCCTCGTCCATCACGCGATGGTGACACCGGTCGAGGGTCCAGCGATCCACGCCCGGAGCGCCGTCACCATCTTGCGATCAGCGGCGCGTTGACTTTGCTGCTGGCGGTGCAAAGTAAGGTCGCGCAGCGTGGCGTGCCCTGGTTGGGGCACCTTGGTGACGACTCGTCGACGGTCCTTCTCGAGTCGATCAGCGTTGGCGTCGATGATGTTGTGCATGAGACGGCAGACGAAATGCAACGCGTTGATCTTGGTCTTGGCGCCGTCGGCCAAAAAGGCGGCAAACGCCGCGCAGTGGCGGCAGTGGAGGCGGTCGACCGGAATGTCATCGTAGACAAAGTCGGGCAAGTCGGGTATCGGGTCCAGCGCGCCGCCCGCAACGAGTGCGTCCTGACACATAGCCGCCAGTTGCACGAAAATGGGGCGGTGCTTGGCGTCGAGTAGAGCATGCAGCTGCTCCAAAGCGGCGTACAAATGGTCCCGGTGCGCGCGAAGCGTCGCCGGAAGAGCTGCCGCCCACGACGTGAGGAACCCTGCCACCGCCTCGGGGGCCACGATCGCAAGAAGCTTGGTCAAGGTCACAGCCACAACTGCGCGCACGTCGTTTCGGTAGTCGCTGGCGATGAGCACCCGCGCGACGGATAGCGCCCACCCAGCGACAATATCGTGCCTGGATGGCGCGAGCACTTGACGCTGAACAAGCTCGAAGACGACATGGACGGTCGCCACGCCGCCGACTGCGAAGTAGGCGTCGAGGAGTCGTCGACTGCAGCGATGGGTCGTACACGAGAGGATGTCGCGGAGGTTGTTTGGGTCCAGATGGTAGCGGTAGGTTCGCCCGATCCCGTCGCTGCGCGCGGCGGCAGTGTCGAGGGCCGACACGATAGCGTCCACGTATACCTCGACGGCCAACGCTGGCTTCAACTTGAGCGCTTGCAGCACGGCCGCCGGCACCCATCGAAGCGTATCGACGTCGGAGGTGCACTGCCGAAGCAACGTGGAGACGCGGTGTTGGCGCACGTAGAGGTAGTCGTCGATGATCGCAATGACCGGTAGCGGTACGCGGCCATCGAGCCAGTTGGCCTTTGCATGCGCGTTGCCGGTGGTGGAGGTCGTGAGCGCATCGAGGTACATATCCAAGAGGATGCAGCTCGCGCCAACATCTCGCGAAGTGTAGAGTTCGTTGGCCGGACGCGTGCAGATGACATCAAAACACACTTTCATGCATTCGCCGACGAACGGGACGTCGAGGGCAGCGCAGAGCGGGTCGTTGGTGACCCCGGCGAAGCTTGCGAGAAGCTGGCACGCTCTCGGCAGGTCCAGCCAGCTGTTGCGCTCAGCCCAGCGAGCCACGAGTCGCTGGACGGCGCCACCGAGCCGATGCCATCCCTGCGACGTCAAGCAGATGCGGACGAGCTCCGCGAGCGTCGTCAGACTTGGCGGCGAGTAGTACCGGAGCGCCGACCCGAGTACATCCGAGACAAAGACGTCGATGAGATCGGTATCGCCATACGCCAAGAGGCGATGACATAGATGCGGCAGAAAGGCGAACGGACGATGCTCTTCGCTTGCAGGTAGCACGGCGCGCGCGAAGATGCCCAATGTGCCGAGAAGGAGGTCGCGGACGCTACCGAGACCGAGATACGAAGAAGATGTGGGCTCGGCGCTTAGCACCGCGGCGGCCAAGCCGACAATGCCGGCGCGGTACTGCGTTGGCCAAAAGAGGAGCGCGACCTTTGGTTCGAAGATCGACTCGGTCTCGTCCCCAAGGAAGCGATGGGCACCTTTCCCGACAAGGCTGGTGACGACCACGTCGGGGATCTTACACGACGGGTGCGGGTGGCAGCTGCGGATGAATACTTCGACTTCAACGAGGGCGACGTCGAAGCGCTGCGTGGCCAGAAGCACGTCGACGATGGCAGCGTCAGCGGGGCCGAGCGTCTCGAATGCGAGGACCGGATCCGTGAGGACGTGCGCAATGCGCTGGTCCTGGAGCATTGGCGTCGACGCAATGCGCGTCAGCTCGGCGAGCATGCCCTCGCGGCTCGAGAGCAAGATCGCACGCGTGCTCGGATGCCGGCGCACAATGTCAAACACAAGGACGAGCCGGGTGCCGGACGTGATCGGCGCCGACACCGACACCGCACCGAGCGGTACAACGGCGTAGCACACCTCTGTCGTTGGCTCGAGCGTCGTCGTCGTCGCGCCGAGCGTCCACGCAAGCGAGCCACCGGTGTACGCCGATGGCAGCACGACAAGAAGCGTGCCGATGGCTCCTGCGTCCATCGCCGGCGTCACGTCGTTGCTGGTACCGACGCTGGCGACGCTGAAATGGGACTCGACGACGTCCAATGCCATGGCGGGCGAGGCCTGGAGGCAGAGCGCGGTCGCTGCTTTGTCGAGGATCTCGGGCAGCAATGTCGACCACGCGGCGACGTCGGCGACGGAGAAGGGAGCGCGGCCCACGGCCGCCGTCGTCGCAGACGTGAGGCCGCACCGAAGCGTGCCCACGAGCACATGCTGGCTGGTGCGACGCAGCGGCCACAGCGCGGCTTCGTACGCTGCTACAGTCATGTCCGCCTTGCCCTCGACCCAACAAATCGGACAGTGCCCTCCATCTTTCAATCTATCGACTTTTATCCGGACGCTCGACACTTTTGCCAGCCAGCCATTCGTCGGACACACCTAGCCCTACTTTTGCCATACAAAACACAAGCTTTAACGCGTGCCACGTCAGACATCCGGATAAATCTGGACGCACGTGCGTGCTGACGCCATCGCGCGACGAAGTGGAAGCCTTGCTCTGTGCGCATGGCCGGCCAGCCAGCCTGCGCAAGACCCAAGAACGCGCTGGCGCTCGTCGCAGCACACGCGCGCGTGGTTGGAGAGCGCATCGCAGGGCGCTTCTATGAGCTTGTCAACCTTACGATAGGCTCAACCTACTCGATAGGCCCAACCCCCTGCCTCGTGTTCGCACGGTCGAAGGTCGCAACGGTCCTGCTCCTGGCAGCCTGCCACGTCAGCACCCGGTGCTCGAATAAGTTCTCACATGTATATTTATGGAGTTGCTAGCGAGAGCCAAAGTGTGCGCGGTTGATCTTCTCGGGCAGCAGCTGCGTCATCTCGAGCGAGATCGCGCGCTCGGCTTGGAAGCACGTCGCCGAAGCGGTGAGGGCCACGACGTATTCATGCAGGCGCAAGCTACAACCAGGCGACGCCTCAGTCGCCATACATGTCATCCTCATAACTACCTCTCCGACCACGCATGGACGGTTGCTGCAGTATCGAGGAACTGGAGTTTGCCGTACAGTCGCGCCAAGTAAAAGACGCCGGTGAAGAACGGGAGGAGGTCCTCGTCGCTGCTGAGGTGCGTCGGGCGACGCAGCGGGCGCGGCAGCGGCACGTCAATCTCGCTGCGGGCGTCTGTACCTTGCTGAAAGTAGTAGAGCTGCAGAAACCGCGTGTAGCATCGGATCCCATCTTGGCCGTAGCTCTATCCATCCATTATTGGATAGATCGATACATCACAATGGATAGATGAATCCTGTACGTTGGTTTGCGCGTAGGCTTTCGAGAGGTGCAAGCACTTGAGGTCGTGGAGCGCGCCGTAGACGTCGGCAGCTTCAAAGAGCAGCTCCTGCACGAGGTACCCGAACGCGTTGCGGTTGAGGTCGACTGCGTCCGAGCCGTCGGGATGGAAGAGGAGCGGCGTGAGGTAGCTCAGGCGCCGCGTGAGCATGGCCATCTGCCGCTTCCGATCGGGCTCGTACGGCAAGAGCCGGGCGTACGCGCTGCTCTGCAGCTGCAGGACCCGGATGTGGTCGGTCACGTGTCCGTCCAAAACAAAGACTTCCTACGCCCCATTGTATGGTATTCAAGGATGGATCCTTACCTTGGCAACGTCGAGGCAGGCCATCGCTCGCTTGAAGAGCGGCCGGGCGTCGTCCAATGACGTGAGCGGCGACATGAGCGGCCAGAGGTCGTTCGCGCTCGCCGGGTGCGGCAAACTCGGAAAGAGCGGCGGCGGCGGCGGTGCAAGCACCGTTGGCGGGCGCTGCAGAACGTCCAAGTAGATCTTGGCTTCGACGAGCGCGATGCGGCCTCGGAGGTCATCGTCGATATCGTCGTTTTGTGGCGTCGCGTGCTTGCAAGCCAAGACACATTCGATGGCCTACATGTCGTATGTATCAAGTTGATAGAAAAGAACGCGACTTACGGCCGCAGGGGCGTGCGTGGTCGTGTAAAAGGTGGCGAGCCCGAGGCAATTCTTGACCCAGTCGGGCGGGAGCTCGTCGGTGAGCGGGCCCGACGCTTGCAACTGGCGGCGAAGCGTCTGCTGACAGTAGTGCGCCGACGTCGCGGCGTCACCGACGTGGCCATACACCTGCGCGAGGTAGAACATGGTGTGCGTGTGCGCGGTCCCGAGCGGCGCGTCCGTGTCAGCGTCCGTCGCACAGAGCGCGTCGGCGGTCGCCAAGTAGCTCAGCGCCTTGGCGTGCTGCGAGCGATGGCACCACAGAATACCGAGCTGGTTGAGCAGCTCTACCTCACCCGCTTAGCATGCGATGCGGAGCGTGGGGATATGTACCGACGACATCGACGAGGTCGACGTTGATGTTGGCGGGTACGAGATGCGACGGTGGCGGCAGCGCGTTCGGTACCGTCGACGCTGCTGCATCCGGCGCGAGGCTACCCACAAAGGCGAGCAGCGGTGCGCTCGCTGGTAGCACCGCGAGCGCCTTCTCCAAGCACGGCTGCGCTTCGTGGGGCTCTTCGACGGCCATGGCAATCTGCCCGAGGAGCGAGAGCCGCAGCAGCTGGTCTTGCGGCGTCTGCGCAGTCGCCGCGAGGAGCTGCTGGCGTGCCTCATAGAGGTGCTCGTACGGGCGGTGGGCGTCGGCGGCCCCGAGGGCCATGAGCCGCTTCGCCTCCGCGAGCACGTCCTTCATTTTTCCAAAGGTCGCAGAAAGATCGCGATGGCGTGTCGCAGGCCTTTTTTCTTTGAGCGAATCAAAGGCCAGCAGATTATTAACCCACGACCAAGACCCGTCGCTACACAAATCGACCTGTTTATGCCCAGCGCTGGATAGTCTCGTTGCAGCCCTCGCCGCGAATGGCACGCGTCAGCACACGCGGGGATCGAAGCGGCGGCCACCGAGGCCAGGAAACGATGAGCGCGCGCTCGTCGGCGACCGTGGCGAGCGTCAACGAGACTGGTATCGGACCAGTGTGTGTATCAGAGTGTGTCGGTGCACGCCAGCCAGATGGAGAACCAAGGTGACGCGAGTCGGAAGAAACCAGAGCAGCGCAGCCTCGCTCGTCGGAACTCAGACGCTTTAAGCTTGGGCATTTGGCGGCGCAGCGCGTTGGGTGCGTCGTGACGTCGGTCGTCCAAGCGAGCGGCGGGCCTGCTTCAAGCCGATGGAGATTGCCATCAATGAATCATCGTCGCCCTGTCTCGGAATTCGACGGATGAGGTGGGACGACCCACGTGGTGCGGCAAGTCACGCCGCCGTGGCCACGCACCGCGATGCCATCCTCGCCATCATCGCCGCGTGCCTTCGACGACGACTAGCTCCTGCCTTCTCAGCCACTATTCGTAGGTCCTAGCGCTAGGTATATGGTGTCGGAGGTGGACGTGGCACGGGCCAGAGGCGCTCGTCACAACCGCCATCACTCCCATCAAGCTGACGCGTCGGTCCGTTTCAATCGTGTCCGCAGATGACCACCGTGTATTCGCATGTGTCACTGCCACTGTCTCTTCCGTGTCGGTCCTGGGTCGACCACAATCATCTCTCGACCCCGCCCCTACGTCAAGAAGGCCTGCAATAAGATCTATAGAGAGGCCGTGGGCGCCTCGTCCGTGCCAGGTGCGCGCTGGCCTCGCCCGCCGCCACTTTGCCCTTTCCCAGTCGACTTTGCACTTGGTCACGCCGTGTCGCAGCGCGTGGATGTATACACCGCACCCGCTGTCACAAACCAGAGACGCTTTTCGGTCCAGAAAATAGAAGCTCGCCGACTGGCCTCATGCTGCGATGCTGCTGCTTGCAGCGCAGTGTATTTCCGTATTTACCATGCAGGCCGTGAACCTCCGCGCGACAATCCAGTACAAGCCGCCGGCCAACACGACGGTCCAGGAGGCGCTCGACACGTTCCGGTCGCCGCAGTGGGTCGGCTACATGCTGCGCCACATCGTGCCCTTCCTTAAAGCCTCGAGCGGCGCCAAGCTCCACGTGCTCGCCGACCTGCCCAAGCTCGCGCGCTGCGACAGCGACTGCGTCATCTGCATGGGCGCCATGGACGACGGCGCGATCGAGCTGCCGTGCGGCCACCACTTCCACACCAACTGCATTGACGCGTGGCTGCGCCTCCGCAACACGTGCCCGACGTGCCGGTACCAGTTTGAGAAGCAAGTCTCGGGCACGTACGCGATCCGCAGCATCAACACAGCGCTCTGCCTCGACGGCGTGCGCTCGGCCGACGTCGACGACGTCCTCAGCCGGTCGCTCGACGGCTCGGCGCTGAGTGCCATTGTGCACGTGACCATGGTCCCGGCGGCGACGTTGCCGCCCATGGAGCGCTACCCGTGCGTCATGAACGCAGCCATTGTCCGCGGCCCCGCGCCGACGCCCAACGCTGTGCGGTCGCCGACGGCGAAGCGCAGTCGCCCACACGAAGCGACGCCGCCCGTGCCCAAGCACACTAAGTTATGTTAAAGTTATTCGATAGACGTTTGTAATATAGTCCTCCTAGAAATGATTTTCGTGCTGATGGTTCTCTTCGCGCTTCGAGCTGAGCCTCGAGCCGCTTAAGCAACGGTTCGACCAGATCGCAGTTGAGTAGCGTCTCTACGCGACACGAAGGCGTCTCTCCTGCGAGCGATCGCCGGCCAAGACGCTACTCTTCCTACCTACTACACCAGTACGACGTGCTGCGACAGCAACACTTGCATCAGCCCGTGCCAGCTCCGCGACAGAAACTGGCTCCGGTCACACGCATCTCTCCTCGTCTAGCCGAACACTTGGTCGTCGTTCGGCTTCGGCGGCCATGTCCCGTCCCGTCGGCTCGACAACTCATCTCGTCCCAGGTCTCTGGTAGGACGATGGACCATCGGCGGACTCAGTAGGACGATACGTCAAAGACCAGACGATGCGATTCCACTGCGCGCCGTCGTCGCCTGGGCCTGGGCCTCGATCGTCCATGTACCAGTAGGTCGGTCGGCCACGAGCGCTGCGTGTTGCCGCTCCCATTCCGTTCTCGTCCCAGGGGGCCTGTCCCGATAAACACTGTTTCCACCCAGTGTTTCAACCGTAAAAACTGTGTTTGACACCGTGTCAGTACATGTGGCAAAACGTGGCGTGTGCCAACATTACACGATTTCCGGGCACACACTAATTGCGGCGCTGCTGGAGCCAACCAGCGGCGATTGGTCGTGACCAGCAGACGCTTCAACTCGGAATTTCGCAAGATGGCTCCTCGGCGCAGCAAGAAGGGCAAGGCCAAGAAGACCGACGTGTACGAGCACGACGACGACGAGGCCACGGAGGCCCGCGAGGCCGCGCGCATGGAGATCGACGGCGTCTACGAGTACGAGGCGCCGGCCAAGATCGCCCGCGAGGACGACTCGGAGATCGACGAGGACGGCGCGTTTGACTCGGAGGATGACGCAACCTTTGGCTCGTTCTTTAGCGGCGGTAAGACGACGACGTCGAGCAAGAAGGCCTCGGGCAAGAAGGCCTCGGGCAAGAAGGCGGCCGAGAGCGACGACGAGGCCAGCAACGACGAGGACGAGGACGAGGATGATGCGGGCGGCGACTTGCTCTCGGACATGCTGGGCACGGCGCCGGCTGCGCGCCTGCCCACGGCAGACGACGATGGCAACGACGACGACGACGACGACGATGACGATGACGAGGCCAAGCACGCGTCGCTCATGTCGATGGTCGACGCGATGGCCAAGGGCCCGAAGCGCAAAATCGCGCACGCCGAGATGACGGAGGACGTGGCGCCGTCTGCGTTCAGCAAGAAGATTGGCGGCGCCGAGCTCACGCTGGCGTCGCTCATGGCGTCGTCGATGCCGTCGCTGCCCGGTGACGACGACGACGAGGAGGAGGCCAAGGACGAAGTCGTCATGGCGTCGAGCTCGGCGGCGGCGCTCAAGCGGCAGTTTGCGCAGCTCGAAGCCGACGACAGCAAGCTCTCGGCGCCGCTCGCGCCCGTGCTCGAGGCCCGCGCGTCGCGCAAGGTCGCGTACGACGAGAAGAAGAAGGACCTCGAGGTCTTTGTACCCGTCGTCCAGCGCAACCGGCAGAAGGAGACGCTCGACTTTCGCCTGCAGGGCTCTGCGCCGGCGAACCTGACCGTGGCCGGCCTCACGACCAAGTTCAAGCCCGAGAAGCCGCTGGAAAATGACGTGGCGGCGCTTCTGGCCACGTCCGGGTGGTCGGACAAGGCGGCGGCGGCCGACGAAGCCGCAGCGCTTGAGATGAACGCGCTCACGACCGAGGAGGTCCAGGCGCGCCAGAAGGAACTCGCCAAGATGCGCGTGCTCATGTTTTACGAAGAGCAGAAGGCGCGCCGCGTCAAGAAGATCAAGTCGAAGCTGTACCACAAGATCCGCAACAAGCAGGACGCGAAGCGCGAGCGGTCGCAGCTCCGGGAACTCGATCCGGAGCTCGCGGACCAGCTCGATCTCGAAGACGCGGAGAAGCGCGCGGAAGAGCGCATGACGCTCAAGCACAACAACACCTCCAAGTGGGTCAAGCACCAGCTCGGGCGGGGCATTCAGGCGGATGCGGGCACGCGCCAGGCGATCCACGACCAGCTCCGGCGCGGCGACGAGCTCCGGCGCAAGATGGAGACGGTGGCCAACGAAAGCGACCTGTCTTCGGACGACGACAGCGAGACGGAGAGCAACGAGACGGAGACGCAGCGGCTCCAGCGCAAGCTGGCGAAGAAGGCGTCGGCGCTCGTGATGGAGATCACGGCCGACGCCGGCGCGTCCAAGGCCGACGGGCTCCACGGCATGAAGTTTATGCAAAAGGCGGTCGAGAAGCAGCGCGAACGAGCGCTCAACGACGCCGAGAAGCTGCTCCAGGAGCTGCGCGGTGACGACTACGATGACAACAACAACGACGACGACGACGACAACCCGGCGCCGGCCAAGAAGGCCAAGAAGCGACCAAGGTGACGGCGACCGACAAGAAGGTTGTTGCTGCCAAGATGGTCAACGGGTCGCAGCAGATGACGTCCGTCATGATGGACAAGGCGCACAAGACGCGCGTGTCGTCGGCGATCCAGATTGACTTTGGCGACAACGCGCCAACCCCGGTGGTCACGGTCGATGCAGTGGAGGCGCCCGAAGCCTTTGCGTCGGTTGCGGCCGCGACGCCCGAGAACCCGTGGCTCGATGCGACGGCGACCAAGAAGCGCAAGAAGCCGCGCAACCGCAAGAAGGCGGTGGCCGAGTCGGCGACGATCGGGTCGGCGATTGCATCGCTCGCTGCACCGACGTCGGAAGCGCCGGCAACGGCCATCCTCGGCCCGTCGGCGGCCGATATGAAGAAGCGCAAGGCGGCCGACACGACGACGCCCGCGGCAAAGAAGGCCAAGACGACCGACGCCAACACCAAGACGACCGACGCCAACACCAAGGCGAACGCCAAGTCGGAGGCCAAGGCCGAGACCAAGAGTGAACCCAAGACGACGACGACGACGCAGAAGAAGCCGACGACGTCGTCGGCGGACCTCGCGCAGGACGAGCTCGTGCGCCGGGCGTTTGCGTTTGCGGACGAGGGCGACGACGAGATTGGCGCGGAGAAGGACCGGATCGCGGCCGAAGACGGCGATGCCAAGTCGGGCGCGGAAGTGGCCAAGCTCACGGGCATGACGGGCTGGGGCTCGTGGGCCGGCGAGGGCGTCAAGACGTCCAAGCGGCAACTCGCGCGCCTCGAGCAGGCCAAGGCCGTTGCCGCGGCCGCCAAGCTCGCGGCGCTCAACAAGCGCAAGGACGCCAAGCTCTCGCGCGTCCTCATCAACGAGAAGAAGGACAAGAAGGCCGCCAAGTTTATGGTGGCGAGCGTCCCGTATCCGTTCACGTCGCGCGAGCAGTACGAGCTTGCGATGCGCAACCCGCTGGGCGCGGATTGGAACACGACCAAGTCGGCCAACGCGCTCACGGCGCCCGAGGTCATGCTCCGCGCGGGCCAGATCATCCAGCCGCTCGTGCTCACGAACCAGGAGAAGGCGGCCGCCAAGACGGACGCGGCCAAGGCCAAGAGCAAGGCCACCAAGGCGCAGCGAAAAGCCAAATTTTAAAGACAATAGCATCCATTTCGTACTAGACGACGAGTCATACGACAATATTGTCCACTTAGGTACAGGCGCCGGGTGGTTGGACGAACGCGCTGAGAAAGGTGTCGAAGGCATGGAGGTCGTGCGAGATGCGGGCCCAGATCTCGGGCGCGGCGACCGACTCGGGCACGTAGCCAAACTTGCGCTTGACCTCGACCTGCAGCAGGTGCAGATACTGCCGGACGTGCTGCAGCAGAGAGTCGAGCAGTTGCTTGCCCTCGAGGGCGGTCGTTGCGCTGCGTACGACGTGGGCTCTACTGAGCGCGACCGTCTCGTGCTTGACGGCGAGCTCTCGGCGCAGTGCCTCGACGGTCGCTTCGGCCGTGGCGAGGGCCGTGGCGAGGTCGGTCGCCCGAGCCGCGTGGTGGGCCGCGTCGTTGAGGAGCGTCTCTTTCTCAGCAGCGATCGCGGCTTGCTGCTGCGCCTCGGACGCTACTTCGCACTGCGCCTGTGCCGCATACGTCTCGAGCCACGAGACGTTCTTGGCGGCCAATTGAAACAGCTGGTCAATCTACGACGTCTGAGACGACGAGTCGGCGGTGCGATTCATACCAAGGCTGTCTCGTCGGCGGCGACGACGGCATCCCGCGTCGTGTCTGTGGGCGGCGCCGACTCGAGCGCCTCTCGGACGCCCACGAGGCGCTCGACGTGCGCGCCGAGCTGGTCTTCGAAGCGCTGGAGCTGCGAGCGCGTGCGAGTGTGGGCGTCGGCTTCGGCCGCCAGCGACGTCTTGAGGTGCTCGTTGTCGCGGAGGAGCACGAGGAGCCTCGCCATGAGCTCCGTGTCCTGCTCGCGGAGGTCGGCGAGCTGCGCGCTGAGCGTCGACCGGTCCTGCAGCTCGGCCTCGACGAGGCGCAACCGCTTTTGCAGGGCGCGAGTGGCGGCGAGCTCCGTCTCGAGCTTGCGCCGGCGCGGCGCCCACGACGCCATGCGCGCGACCGCGTCGTCCTTCCAATGGCGCAGCTGGGCAAGCTCAAACTGGGCGTCCGCGAGGTCGGCGCGGAGGCTTAGGTTCTCGGCCTGCGCGTCCCAGCGCCGTCGGTCGGTCGCCATCGGTCGTCGTTTCGAACCGTTTTCACGCAAGATCCATGCCGAGGATGACTTCAAGACGAGATGCGTGCTGGGCCAGGTGTCCCACTGCCGTGACCGCGCGTGGTGGATATCTCACCCACGGCCTTTCTAGACTCTGCAGCCACCAAGCAGCTCCATTAGCAGCAGTTAGCATCGTCGCGGCGACCCGTACTATAGTACCGTATTGTAGCCAGGCTAGTGCCATCGGCGAACGACGACGAGGCCGCGTCGACGCCTCAAAGAAGCGTTGCGTGTCCGTCCTGTTGACACGTAGTACACTGTACGCAGCATCGGTCGGCGCCTCGACACGCCATCAATCGAACGCGTCCGAGAGCTGGCTACAAGGCTGGCGTGGGCCCTCGCTCGCCGCCGCCTGCTATCACCACAAGGCAACAAAGTCCGCCGAGATTGCCTTTTGACTTTGCCCTTTCTGGGCGCGTGATCTGATCGGTTCCGTAATGGCTTGTATCCCACTCTTGCGTCGCGACGCCACGAACGTGTTGTTCGTCGTTGTGCCAGACGCCAAAACACTCCCGCATGAACGAAGCGCCGCGTCGCGTGCCACCGAGCCCCGTGCTCGAGTATGACTACCCTGCCGAGCTCTTCGCCCCCGCGCCGCGCCGACAGACGGCGTACGACCGCCTCCGACAGGCGTACACGCACCCGACGGCGCGCCTCTCGCTCAACGACGACGTCGGGCCTGACAAGGCGCCGCAAGCGGTCCTGCCGTGTCTCGCACTCTTTACGTCCGTCGTGCTCGGCTTTGTCCTCTCGTACGGCGTCGATTACGCCCTCGATAAACCTCCGAACTTTGAGAACCGGACCCAAGCCGACTACGAGGCGCTGCTCGCGTTCACAACCAAGCGATCGTCCATAGCGCGCTGGCTCGACCTCCCGGGCACGCTCTTCGTGCGCGCCTTGTCCTGCCTCGTCGTGCCCCTCATTTTTGTCAACCTTGCCATGGGCGTCGCGGAGCTCGTGCAAACGGCCAAGCTCGGGCGCGTCACCGCCAAGATGCTGCTGTTGTTTGCGCTCACAACCATGGCGGCGGCCGGCCAAGGCCTCCTTTGGATGTCGATCGTGCCCGAGGAGCGACTGCGCACCAACCAAACCAACATCTTTCAGGTGGACACTCGTCCGCGCCGGTTGATGTCGACCGAGGTCCTCTGCCCACTCCAGAACGAAACGTACCTTGTCTGGAAGGGCGACGAGCTCAGCTGCAGCAACGAGAAATCGTCGGCGGCCGCGTTCCAGATGCGCGACTCGAACCGCCTCTTGGCGAATGTCTACAGCGCCCGGCGGAGCGTCAAGAAGCTGTCCGTGGTCGACGTCATCCAAAGCATCTTCCAGATGGTCGTGCCGAGCAACCTCTTTGCGTCGTTCGTGCAAGGCGACCTCCTCAGCGTCGTCGCCTTCGTCGTGCCTTTTGGCCTTGCGATCGCGCGGTCGGGGCCGTCACGGGCCACAACCCGATGTGGGCGCTCTGTCAGCAGCTCACGAGTATCTTCACCATCATGATCGCCTGGGTCATCCAGACGGCGCCCGTTGCCGTCCTCTTCATGGTCGCATCGACGCTGCTGTACCCCGAAGACAACAACGCCGCGAGCTACGGGTGGGCCGTCGACGGCGGCAGCCTCCTCTCGGGCGTCGTGAAAGACCCGTCTGCGCTGCCGTTTGAGCAAATCCTGGCGCGTTCCGAGTACTTTTTCGACAACCTCACGGCCGAAAAGTCGTCGATGCTCACGTTTCTCGGGCTCTACTTGGCCGGGTGGGTGCTGCACTGCTTTGTGTTTCTGCCCACGCTCGTCCTCCTCACGACGTCGCATGCGCCGTGGACGTTCCTTCGGCGCATCATTCCCGCGCTCTCGTTTGGCTTTTTCAGCGCGTCGGCGTTGGCGTCGATGCCCCTTTTGATGAAATTCATGCACCTCTCGCAGTTTGTCTCGCGCCACATCACGCGCCTCGTCGTTCCCGTCGGCACGGGCGTCCACATGGACGGTGTCGCCTTGTACGTCTCGTCGGCCATGGTATTTCTGTTGCGGACGCAGAGCTACGACCGCAGCGCGCCCGTGCCCGAGGCGTTTTTGCTCAACGGCGCCATGTACGCCATCATCTTTGTGTGCGCGACGGTCGCGTCCTGGACCATGCCGCCGCTGCCGCACAACGGGCTCCTCGGGCTCACGTTTGTGTGGTTTACCGTCGTGGGCGAAGTGCGCCCGACCAATTTGCACTGGATGATCGCGATGGATGTCGTCACCGACCGCCTCTCGACCGTCGGCACCATGATATCGAACGCGATCGTGACGCTTATCATCGCGTCGTCGGTCGACGAGCGCTACGCCGACGAGCAGGACCGACGCGTGGACCAGCACGAGTGGCTCTCCGAGTAGATGTGGTTCTTAGCGATAATCTATCTATCAGTGTACGGTTGGTGTCCATCTTGTCTTGTTGGAGCCATGGATTTGGTTGGTGACACTGGACACACCGACGTGGACCCTTGTCAAGACAAGCAAGCCATTGCATCACACAATAAGTAGTACATTGATTCCATCACACCGTCATAAAGCTGCTTAGTGACCCCAAAAGTCGTCACCGCCGTTCCAGTTCCAGTCGTCACCGCCGTCCTGGTCATCCCAGTTGTTGTTGTCGTCCCAGTCGTTGTTGTCGTCCCAGTCGTTGTTGTCGTCTGGCTCGCCCGTGGGAAAGTCATCGTTGTCATCGGGGGGACCAGTGGGAAGGTTGTTGTCATCATCATCCGGGGGACCGGTGGGAAGGTTGTTGTCATCATCATCCGGGGGACCAGTCGGGAGATCGTTGTCATCGTTGCCATCATCCGGGGGGCCGGTCGGGAGGTCGTTGTTGCCATCGTCCGGGTCGGACGTCGGCATGTCGTCGTCGCCACCGCCGTCATCGGGCTGCGGCTTGCCGGTCATCGACGGGTACGACGGCGCCTCGGCCACATTGCACATGCCCTGGCCGCCGCCACCGCGCTGGAGACGCATGTAGCCGCGCTCGCCCCAGTTGGTGCCCCACGAGTTGCGGATCTTAAAGTAGCTGCCGCCATCCGAGCCGTAGCCCACAGCAATCACGGCGTGGTCCGACTGGCCACCGGGACACGACTTGACAATACCGCTCTTGTAGTTGCGCCACACGTTGTTGCCGGCCTCGACGACGACCGTCACCGGTTGCTTGTCGAGCGCCGACTGCAGCGCACTCTCGCCACGAATGTCGACTGGACGGCCGACGCTGAGCTTGTTCTTCTTGCAGTTCTGCTTGCACTGGCTGTCGCTCTGCGTGTACGGAAAGTCGGACGACGAGCACACGCCGGTCTGCGCAATGTACTCGAGGGCCTTGTTGGGCCAGCCGCCCTGGCAGCCCTGGCCCGCGCTCGACGCGCAGCTGACGAGCTGCTGCTCCGAGAGATCGATGAGCTGACCCGTGACGAGGCAGTGCGCCATCGCGGACGCGCCGACGGCCGCAAACGACCAGCACGAGCCGCAGCCGCCTTGGTTCTTGATGGCCGGCATGCACTTGCCCGTCGTCCAGTCCTTTCCGCTGGCCTCGCGCTGCGCCGGCGTGAGCTGGAGCTGGATGTTTTCACCGCGGAGCTGGCGCTTCTTGGGGGGCGAACCGAACGCGCCCTTGACAAACTTTTCAAACTCGGCGTCCGTCATGAGCGCAAACTGGTTGTCGGTCGAGAAGGTCGCCGACCCGTTGTGCTCCTTGTTGAGGTCCGCGACGACCTTCTTGGTGTGGGCAAAGCGCTTGAGCTCCGTCTCGAGCTGCTCGTGCGCGTTGAAGCTCTCGGTGCGCGGCTTGGGCGGGAGGAGACCCTGGACAACCGCGGCCTTGCCAGCCTGGCTCTTCTTCCACGCGTCGAGTTCTTGGAGGAGCTCGTTGCGCTCCTTGTTGGTCATCTCGAGCGCGGTCGCCGACGCCGCGAGAAGGGCGGTTGTGAGGTAGATGGACTTCATGGCCAAAAGGAAAAGGTAAACTGAGCATCCGAGGTCACCACGACAGAGATCGATCTTCTCATGCACACATGTGTTGGTGTCTGCCTCTCCATTTCGAACGTTCTGACTGGACGCGCCATCTGTTGGCACCGAAGCGGGAAGGACGTCCTGGCGATTTGCAGCCACTGGAATGCGACTATACCTCACGACGAGGCGGTCGTCGCCGATAGGACGTGCTGTGTCCACACTGGAGCGATGTCGGGTGTCTGAGAATCGAAGCAGCGGCCAGGAGCGTCCGTCTCATGGTAGCGGCGTGTTGGTAGCGGCGATTCGAACCTTGAGCATACATTGCACCAATGTCCTCGGATGGTTCCTTGAGACGACCAAGTTGTCGCAAGGCAGGTACAAGAACTCTGCGCGGCGTATACAAGCAGGTTCGAATCCAAAGCGCATGCATTACCAGCTATCGATGACCTCGGTCTCGGCCGATCCATGAAAATAGCACGACGAGGCAGAGACGCTGGAGAGTTGGTAGTACATTTTTCTCGACGATGAGAGTGCTAGGACTCCTCGTACTCTACCAGGATTAGAGAGAGTTAGTTACTCTACAGCGCTGACGGTGCTGAACACGTGCATATCCATGAGGCAGGATGGGTTCGAACTGGCTTGGTGCGATCCGGTCGCCTTCGATCCGGATCCTCGGTGGACCAAACAACTGCGTGCGCCGACGCCAACTGCAAAGTGCATGCTCTTCTGCGACATGGCGGCAGTACACGGTAGAATCCATTTTGTGGTTGAGAGATGATGATGACCTGGTGGCAATTCCTAGTGGCATAGCAATGTGCGGTCACGAGGAAACATGATGCCTTGCGTGGGTATGATTGTATCTGATTGGCCAAATCTGTAAAGAACGACCAATGACATGTGGGTACCAATTTGAACAGGAAATCGAGGACAAATTTTGTACAACTCGATTTGCCCGTTTAAACGCAGGGAGTGGAAAGGAATACACAATGGCGTGTGCGCCCAAGCACCTCTTCTGTTACAGGGAACCTGGACTACGCGAGGCGCAGCGAATACTGAAAGATAAGTAATGATTTAGTTGTACTCACATTTCGCGAGTGAATGCAGAGCGGGTTGGCTCGGCAATGAGAGGTGCCGTGATTAGCTCGATTGCCACTTTGACGCACTGTCCAGGTCTTCGAGAGGGTGAGAGGGTGAACGATGTTTCGCGGTATCATTGTTGTGACAAAAGAGTTCGCATACGTAGAGACTAACAATCTCCTTCTTCTTCATTCGCTCGCCAAGCTGTGGCTGCGCAGGCGACGGCGCGGGGGCTCGTCTTGCTTTTTTGTATTTGCCCGGGGGCGCTTGCGGCGGCGGGTGAGGCCCATGACGACAAGCTCCGTAAACTCCTTCCAGGCGTCGCGATCGGCGGCAACGCTACGCAGTATGTTGAGGTCCTCGAGAGACGCCAGCGACTGAGGCGGTGTCAACGACTGGAGGTCGCGGTGCAGGGCGATCGGCAACGTGATCTTGGTGCGGCCTAAAAAACGGGGTGCCTCGGGAAGACGTAATTTAGTTTCTTGGGAAGCAAACACGACCAGGGTAGGGGCTGAAGCTACTACGATTGTATCGCCATAAGCAAGACACAGCACTTCGAGTCGGTGGGTCTGCAGATACGTCTCTAGCTCCGCATGTGCATAAAGCCCTTTACGATACGCAAAATGCTTCAAAGGCGAAACGGCCTATCGCTTGAGTGACGATATTGGTGCGATGCTTCTCGCAAGGCGAAGTCGATCGAGGACAAGTGTTCGTTTCGTCGTCGTTAAGTCCCCAACCACCTTTGTTTAGACCACTCTGTCCTCGGTCACCCGCTCATTGCTTACCGACCATTATTAAAGCTCAAGCTTCCAGGCGCTTATCAGCGGCTAGAAACAGGATAGAGCGGCCGCACCAGAATCGACCCGATGCTTGTCGCTTGGGAGCAGACTTTCATTTCTGAAAGGGGCACGTGAATCGCGTCTTTCCGATGGATGAGCTGTTGGCGCCAGGGCCAACGTCCTTGCAAGCATGCCACAGCTGATGCTACCGAGCGTGCAGCCCATATTCCTACACGGCCCCAGCGTTCTTTCATCTTCTTATTTGAGCCCCTCCAGTACGCTCTAGAATGGTATGCTTGGCGCCTTCTCCCCCAACATCACCATCGTGATATGTTATGATGATATGGATTTAAATCTTTATACAGAGTAAAGACTCCACCTACTTCGACTTACGTACTAGATGTGTGTTGAAAGTCGGGGGTCAAAAGCTCTTCAACGTGCTAAAGTTCATCGGATGGCAATACGTCGTGCCGTCCGTTGTCGAGTGCGAGCTTGAACAAATGATCCGTGGCTTGGTTAAACTCGCGAGGGTGGTGTTCCCATGTGCACGTAAAATATGCTGCGAGCTCCCGCGCCTGGACATGCAGCTTCTGCAAGCGAGCCTCATGGACCCGGAAGATGCCCTTCATCTGCTGCATGCTGTCGCCGCGTCAATATCACCATCTTTCCTCGTGACCGCACATTGCTATGCCACTAGGAATTGCCACCAGGTCATCATCATCTCTCAACCACAAAATGGATTCTACCGTGTACTGCCGCCATGTCGCAGAAGAGCATGCACTTTGCAGTTGGCGTCGGCGCGCGCAGTTGTTTGGTCCACCGAGGATCCGGATCGAAGGCGACCGGATCGCACCAAGCCAGTTCGAACCCATCCTGCCTCATGGATATGCACGTGTTCAGCACCGTCAGCGCTGTAGAGTAACTAACTCTCTCTAATTGGGCGTGACCTTGCCGGCCACGCTCCCCGGCTACCTCTACTCGACGCCAAAGACGGCGTCCAACATGCACCAAGCCGCGTTCCGCTACCTCTGGCCCGTGCTCCGCGCCTGCGTCTGGTTCAACGTCTGGCGAGTCC